AACTACAACCATGTACTGTGTGTTATGGGAAACATGTGACATATGGGCTGAACTACAACCATGTACTGTGTGTTATGGGAAACATGTGACATATGGGCTGAACTACAACCATGTACTGTGTGTTATGGGAAACATGTGACATATGGGCTGAACTACAACCATGTACTGTGTGTTATGGGAAACATGTGACATATGGGCTGAACTACAACCATGTACTGTGTGTTATGGGAAACATGTGACATATGGGCTGGTTGGTCCTGGTTGTCCTCCTCTCCCGCCTGTTAATGTCCTTCAGAGTTGTTCTCTTGATGTCCTGATTCTGCAGAGCTGGTCCTGGTAGTTATCTGCATGTTTTAGATCATTTATCTCACTGATTTATGACTCTGTAAATCCGACCTCTCTCTCTCTCTGTTAGTTCCTCAGCCAAAGTGCCAATGGAGGAATAATGTGATGTAGACGAACAACAGACTAGGATTGTAACATTGCTATTTTTGTAAGTAACGCTAATAGTTATTCCATCGTGTGTGTGAGTGCATGTGATTGTGTTCCCGCACATGTGTATTTATGTGTGTGCATGATCGCGTGTGTGTGTGTGTGTTTGTGTGCATGATTGTGTGTTTATGTGCATGATTGTGTGCATGTGTGTGCACAAATGTGTTGGTGTGTACTTGTGGGCTCGTGTGAGTCTTACGACAGACAACAAAGTGTACCAAAGTTCAATGAAAGCACAATAAAAACTCCATTGAGTGTAATAGAATGTCCAACAAATTCCAATGTTTTCTCTGGGATGCCAAGCCTGAGCGCCCAGTAGTGCCTTGGTAACTGCCTAACCCTACCCAACACCACCCAACACCACCCAACACCCACCCACCACCCAACATCCCCCCAAACACCAACCCAAACCTACCACCACCAACCCCAACACCAACCCCAACACACCACCCAACACCACCCCAACCCAAACACCACCCCAACACCACCCAACCAACACCACCCAACACCAACCTACCCAACACCAACCCAACACCACCCGAACCCCGACCCAACTACCACGCCAACCCAACACCACCCAACACCACCCCAGACATCCACCCAACCACCACCCTACCCAACACCACCCCAACACCACCCCAACAGCCACCCAACGCCAACACCACCCAACACCACCCAACACCACCCAACCAAAACCACCAGACCATCCAAAAACCACCCAACACCATCCAACCCACCCCCCCACCCATCCCTTACCAACACCACCCAACACCACCCAACCAGCCACCAACACCAACCACCAACACCACCCAACACACCACCCAACACCACCAACACCACCCAACCCAACACCACCCAACACCACCCAACACCACCCAAACCACCCAACACCACCCAACACCACCCAACCACCCACCCACCCCACACCACCCAACACCACCCAACACCACCCAACCACCCAACCCTACCCACCCACACCACCCAACACCCACACCACCCAACCCAACACCACCCAACACCACCCAACACCACCCAACACCACCCACCCTACCCAAACCCACCCAATACCACCCAACACCATCCAACACCACCCCCAACCCTACCCAACACCACCCAACACCACCCAACACCACCCACCAGATATTCCACACAGTGTGATGTTGCCTCAGATCACTCTTTTAATGCCAAATTCAACCTGCGCCCCAAATGGCATCCTATTCCTTATTTAGTGCACTACTTTTGACCAGGGCCTATTAAAACAGCCACAAGCGATCATTCACTCCTGACCAATTATCCCAAATGGCTCCCTGTTTCACACAGGGCTCTGGTCAAAACTAGTGCACTGTTTAGGGAATAAGGTGCTATTTGGGACCAGAGTATATGAGTGGAGTCGGAGTGGTCTGAAACCGCCCCGCCACTCCATGTCCTTTCCAACCGCTCTCCTAAAAACCACTCCTGCTCACAGGAAGAAAAAAAAACTGCTGCTCCAAATTTGCTCCGTTTATAACCACCATTTAACCAACACCCATCTATTGTTGTGACTACCTGGACCTACCATTTGGTTTTGAAGTATTGAAACCAAACCATATGATTTGAATGAAAAGTATTTTATTAAACAATGTGAATAGGTGACTGTATGAAGCACTCATAATTTCAAATAGGCTACATGTCGTATTAAACAGCATATAAACACTCTGAATGGGTCAGGAGCCAGACTTTGGAGTACTTTCAATGAAATTATGGGCAGAAAGACAAATTCAACTCCATTTCATTGAATCAGATGGCTTATTCATCACAAAACCATTTGATGTTGCCAATTATTTTAATGATTACTTCATTGGCAAAGTGGGCAAACTTAGGCATGAAAATGGCAACAATGAACAGTGAGCCATCGTACTTACGTATAAACAAACAAATAATGAAAGAAAAGCATTGCAAGGTTGAATTTTGTGAAGTTAGTGTGGAGGTGGAAAAATGATTGTTATCGATCAATAATCACAAACCTCCTGGCATTGACAACTTAGATGGAAAACTACTGAGGATGGTAGCTGCCTCTATAGCCACTCCTATCTGTCATATCTTTAATCTGAGCCTAGAGGAAAGTCTTTGTCCTCAGGCCTGGAGGGAAGCCAAAGTCATTCCGCTACCCAAGAGTGGTAAAGCAGCCTTTTTATTGGTTCTAACAGCAGACCTATCAGCTTGCTGCCAGCTCTTAGCAAACTGTTGGAAAAAATGGTGTTTGACCAAATACAATGCTACTTCTCTGTAAACAAATTATAAACAGACTTTAGGCACGCTTATAGAGAAGGGCACTCAACATTTACTGCACTAACACAAATGACTGATGATTGGTTGAAAGAAATTGAAAATAAAATGATTGTGGGAGCTGTACTGTTAGATTTCAGTGCAGCCTTTGATATAATTGACCATAACCTGTTGTTGAGAAAACTTATGTGTTATTGCTTTTCAACCTCTGTCATATCGTGGATTCTGAGCAATCTATGTATTAGGTTTTCTTTAATGGAAGCTTCTCAAACATGTAAAGTGTGGTGTACCACAGGGCAGCTCTCTAGGCCCTCTAATCTTTTCTATTTTTACCAATGACACGCCACTGGCATTAAACAAAGCATGTGTGTCCATGTATGCTGCTGATTCAACCATACACGCATCAGCAACCACAGCTAATGAAGTCACTGAAACCCTTAACAAAGAGTTGGAGTCTGTTTTGGAATGGGTGGCCACTAATAAACTGGTCCTGAACATCTCTAAAACTAAGAACATTGTATTTGGTACAAATCATTCCCTAAGTTCTAGATCTCAGCTGAATCTGGCAATGCATGGTGTGGCTGTTGAACAAGTTGAAGAGAGTAAAATACTTGGGTTTACTTTAAATTGTAAACTATCATGGTTAAAACATATAGATTCAATGGGTTGTAAAGATGGGAAGAGGTATGTCCGTAATAAAGAGATGCTCTGCTTTTTTGACACCACACTCCACAAAGCAAGGTCTGCAGGCTCTAGTTTTATCTTATCTTGATTATTGTTCAGTCGTGTGGTCAAGTGCTGCAAAGGAGGACCTAGTTAAGCTGCAGCTGGCCCAGAACAGAGCGGCACGTCTTGCTCTTCATTGTAATCAGAGAGATAATATGAATAGTATGCATGCCAGTCTCTCTTGGCTAAGAGTTGAGGAGAGACTGACTTCTTCTTTTTATTAGAAACATATGTTGGAAATTCCTGGTTGTTTGCATAGTCAACTTACACACAGCACTGACACACACACTTACCCCACCAGACATGCCACCAGGGTTTTTTTTCTCAGTCCCCAGGTCAAGAACAAATTCAAGGAAAAGTACAGTATTATACAGAGCCATGAGTGCATGGAACTCCCTTCCATCTTATATAGAGCAAGTGAACAGCAAATCTGGTTTAAAAAAACAAATAAAGCAACACTTCATGGCACAACCCCTCTTCCCCATGTGACCTACTTGTTGTGTGTATGTACCGACATGTATGTGTAACTGACAGATGCACACACACTACATATTAATGTTTTAAATGTATGTGAATTGTACATTATTTTGTCTGTAACGTATTTTCTGTTATATGTCGGACCCCAGTAAGACTGGACGTCGCCATTGGCGTCGGCTAATGGGGATCCTAATAAATCAAATAAATCAAAATGCTTTCGGGATACGTGTCTTTTCAGATTCCACGATGATTCTTTAGTTGTGGACGCTACATCACCACACTCCCTCTCTTGCTCTTGGTCCTCATCTTTGTAAGTCACCTTGATTTAGCACCTGTGTGCTTTATCAGTTTCTTTATGAAAATATTTAGCGAACTCCATGACAGTAGCTAAAGCAAGGGATAGCAGCACACAAGTAGCCTACAAATGCATGCTGGGCATGCCCTGAGCTTGTGAAGTGAAGTGAGCTGAGCAGTAGCGCAGCGAAATTGGAGCGGGGCGAGAATGCCGACGCTCCAGCCTTTGGGAAACTTACTCCACGCTCCGCTCCTCGCTCCAGCTTTGCTCCTCGCTCCAGCTCCGCTCCTCGCTCCAGCTCCGCTCCTCGCTCCAGCTCCGCTCCTCGCTACAGATCCGCTCCTCGCTCCAGCTCCGCTCCCCGTTCACATACTCTGTTTGGGATGCCCCCTCAGAAAAAAAACTTCAGAACCCTCCACGGCTGCTGCTTGATGACTACCTGATACGCTCCATTATCACTGGGGCTGCCTGGCTTACTGCTCTGGTTGATACGCTCCATTATCACTGGGGCTGCCTGGCTTACTGCTCTGGTTGATACGATCCATTATCACTGGGGCTGCCTGGCTTACTGCACTGGTTGATACGCTCCATTATCACTGGGGCTGCCTGGCTTACTGCTCTGGTTGATACGCTCCATTATCACTGGGGCTGCCTGGCTTACTGCACTGGTTGATACGCTCCATTATCACTGGGGCTGCCTGGCTTACTGCTCTGGTTGATACGCTCCATTATCACTGGGGCTGCCTGGCTTACTGCTCTGGTTGATACGCTCCATTATCACTGGGGCTGCCTGGCTTACTGCTCTGGTTGATACGCTCCATTATCACTGGGGCTGCCTGGCTTACTGCTCTGGTTGATACGCTCCATTATCACTGGGGCTGCCTGGCTTACTGCTCTGGTTGATACGCTCCATTATCACTGGGGCTGCCTGGCTTACTGCTCTGGTTGATACGCTCCATTATCACTGGGGCTGCCTGGGTTACTGCTCTGGTTGATAAGCTCCATTATCTCTGGGGCTGCCTGGGTTACTGCTCTGGTTGATAAGCTCCATTATCACTGGGGCTGCCTGGCTTACTGCTCTGGTTGATACGCTCCATTATCACTGGGGCTGCCTGGCTTACTGCTCTGGTTGATACGCTCCATTATCACTGGGGCTGCCTGGGTTACTGCTCTGGTTGATACGCTCCATTATCACTGGGGCTGCCTGGCTTACTGCTCTGGTTGATACGCTCCATTATCACTGGGGCTGCCTGGGTTACTGCTCTGGTTGATACGCTCCATTATCACTGGGGCTGCCTGGCTTACTGCTCTGGTTGATACGCTCCATTATCACTGGGGCTGCCTGGCTTACTGCTCTGGTTGATACGCTCCATTATCACTGGGGCTGCCTGGCTTACTGCTCTGGTTGATACGCTCCATTATCACTGGGGCTGCCTGGCTAACTGCTCTGGTTGATACGCTCCATTATCACTGGGGCTGCCTGGCTTACTGCTCTGGTTGATACGCTCCATTATCACTGGGGCTGCCTGGCTTACTGCTCTGGTTGATACGCTCCATTATCACTGGGGCTGCCTGGCTTACTGCTCTGGTTGATACGTTCCATTATCACTGGGGCTGCCTGGCTTACTGCTCTGGTTGATACGCTCCATTATCACTGGGGCTGCCTGGCTTTCTGCTCTGGCACAGCAACATGGTCTCAGGGCAATTCATATTATTGTGTACGTAAATCTGTGACCCTGCATTTAGTACGATACATTATGTTATGTTGGATTACATTATGGACGGAATAATGGTAGAACAATATCATACGAATTATAGGACGTATAGTATCATACATCTTACCCGGTCGTACAATAGCATACGAATTGGATGACGTATGGCTCTGGGGCCATACTGGGTAGAGAGAGACAGAGGTCCCCCAGCCCAGCCAGCAGAGACTGGGGCTCTGAGGCCATACTGGGTAGAGAGAGACAGAGGTCCCCCAGCCCAGCCAGCAGAGACTGGGGCTCTGAGGCCATACTGGGTAGAGAGAGACAGAGGTCCCCCAGCCCAGCCAGCAGAGACTGGGGCTCTGAGGCCATACTGGGTAGAGAGAGACAGAGGTCCCCCAGCCCAGCCAGCAGAGACCGGGGCTCTGAGGCCATACTGGGTAGAGAGAGACAGAGGTCCCCCAGCCCAGCCAGCAGAGACCGGGGCTCTGTCCCAGATGTTCATTGTATCACTCGCTCTTAAATTTGTAGATCCTGCATGCTGGGAGGTGATAGTGAATCCTCTTGAATTTGTAGATTTGTATTTGTATTTGTATTTATTAGGGATCCCCATTAGCTGCTGCCAAGGCAGCAGCTACTCTTCCTGGGGTCCAAACATATTAAAGCATTTACATTACATATAAAACAAAATATAAAACAGTACATCATATGACATTATTACACCACTACCTATCTACAATACAAAATGCATGTGTCTATACCCTTGTGTGTATCTCTTCACAGTCCCCGTTGTTCCATAAGGTGATGTGGACTATAGTTCCATGTAGTCATGGCTCTATGTAGTACTGTACGCCTCCCATAGTCTGTTCTGGACTTGGGGAGTGTGAAGAGACCTCTGGTGGCATTTCTTGTGTGGTATGCATGGGTGTCCGAGCTGTGTGCCGGTATTCCAAACAGACAGCTCGGTACATTCAGCTTGATCCTGCATGCTGGGAGGTGATAGTGAATCCTCTTGAATTTGTAGATCCTGCATGCTGGGAGGCGATAGTGAATCCTCTTGAATTTGTAGATCCTGCATGCTGGGAGGTGATAGTGAATCCTCTTGAATTTGTAGATCCTGCATGCTGGGGGGTGATAGTGAATCCTCTTGAATTTGTAGATCCTGCATGCTGGGGGGTGATAGTGAATCCTCTTGAATTTGTAGATCCTGCATGCTGGGGGGTGATAGTGAATCCTCTTGTCAGAGAGTATGAAGAGCAGGAAGAGATGAGAGAAGTTGGAGAGAATGCAGAGAGGAAGTAGGCCCTTGAGATGAAGAGGATGGAATCTAGAGGGCTCTCTTTACAAGATGACCCTGGGGAGGGAGGGAGGGAGGGAGGGAGGGACAGAGAGGCGGAGAGGCAGGGAGACAGAGACAGAGGAAAGAGAGACAGAGAGAAAGAGACAGAGGGAAAGAGATAAAGAGAGAGCGAGAGAGAGAGAGAGAGAGAGAGGCAAGCGAGAGACAGAGAGAGGGAGGGAAAGAGAGAGAGAGAGACAGATTGTAAGAGAGAGAGAGAGAGAGAGAGAGCGAGAGTGAGAGCGTGAGCGAGAGCGTGAGCGAGAGCGTGAGCGAGAGCGAGAGAGAGAGAGAGGGAAAGAGAGAGAGAGAGGGAAAGAGAGAGACAGAGAGAGGGAGGGAAAGAGAGAGACAGAGACAGAGGGTAAGAGAGTGTGTGTTTGCTGTGAGTAAATGAGTAGCTGGTCTCCAGAACTGGCATCATCTCTTCTCTCCTCTTCTCCTCTTATCTCAGTACGGATTAGAAAAGTCAGAGCAGGCCTTGTGTTTAGACATGGACATGCTGTTGGCCCTCAGGCCCAGACACACATCTACATAACCATGACCCTGGGCTGTGTCCCGAATGGCACCCTAGCCTGACGGCATCTGGTCAAATGTAGTGCACTATATTATAGGGAATAGGGTGCTGTTTGGTACGCATCCCTGGTCTCCTTGTTAGTGAGAAGCTACACGTGTTGCTGACTGGCCTCACAGGCTGCTGTTGTCCAACACAAACACATCGTATGCATCCCAAATGGCACCCCTATTCCCTGTATAGTGCACTACTTTTGATGAGAGCCCTATGGGCCCTGATACAAAGTAGTGCACTAGGTAGACAATAGGGTGCTATTTGGAACACAGACGTAGATAATATAACATACGTGTGGGTGAAGAGGCGATGGGGAGGGAAGGTGAAGAGGTTAAGCAGGAGGGTTTAGGTCACGAGGGAATTGTTATCCTTGACCATAGATAAGATCTCTGAACTTTAGAACAACAACGCTAATCGCTAACAAGCCACGGAGCTAACTCTAAGGCTTCATTCCAAATGGCACCCTGTTCCCTATACAGTGCACTAATTTTGACCCGAGCCCTATGAACCCTATTGGGGCCCTGGTCAAAAGTAGTGCACTAAATAGGGAATAGGGTGCCATTTTGGGACACAGCCAATATCTTTGAACCTGGAACAACAACGCTAATCGCTAACGAGCCGCAGAGCTAACTGTACGTTTAGTTGGCCGTGGAGTAGCGTGATTCAGGGCCCAGCATGCCTTGCCAAGTTCACTTCTAAAGCATCAGAAGCCAGATAAGTGGGAAACACCCACACATCGAGGTGCAGAGCTCCAAATAACTTCATGCTTCCTCCTCAATTAATAGCTTCCAGTAACCTAAGAACCCACCAGGAACGTTTAAAAAAAAAAAGTCAACCGACTTTATCGTAACTTTCATGGCTACACGGATTAGTGGGATAGAACATCTGGAACAGAGGAGAAAGTTGCACGTGCTGTTTATTTAGCTAACATATCAGCCTCACAGCCTTCATTAAAGGATGGCGTTCTGATCTGCAGTGGCAGACTATGCCGTTTACATGGATGGTAACATGTAGTCTGAGGGCTTTTATTAGTTATCAGCTAAGCCAAACAAGTCACCATAGCTGGTTCCATAGCTTTGAGTAGTCTTGGTAGCTTTTCCTAGTAGCTAGCTTTGGTGAGATGATCAAAAAGCTTTTCTAGCTAAAAAGGGAATAGATGAGATAGAAATGGGGGAAGAAGGGGAAGAATAGAGAGAGGGATGGAGAAGAGAGTTTAAGGTAGAGAAGATTTTGACGATAGAAAAATTCTTCCTCTCTCTCAATTTTCCTCTTTTCTCCTCTCCCTCGATGTTCCCCCTCCTCTTCTCCTTTAACCCCGTTTTTTCCCCCTTCCCCTGTTTTTCCCCCCTTTTTCTCTCCTTCTCCCCCCCTCCTCCTCTCTTTTCTCCCCTCTCTCTTTTTCCCTCTTTCTCTTCTCCCCTTCTCTCTCTCTCTCTTCCCCTCTCTCTTTTTCCCCCCCTTTTTTCCTACCCCGGGTCCCCCCTTTTTCATTCCCAAAACCGGGAGGGACGTCTTTTTTTTTGACCCAAATCACCCCCTATTGGAAAACCCCCCCAAAATCCCAAAAACCATAAAAAAACCCCTTTCCCCGTTTAAAACCCCGGATTTCAAACCTCCCCCTTTAAAAGGTCTTAAAAGGGGGGAAAAAACAAACCCCTTTTGTTTATTCTCCCTAAAAAACACCAGACATAAAGGGCCGTGTTTTTTTTTGCCCCCACCCTTTCCCCTCCCAACAACACCCTAAAGGAGATATTGTACCCCCCAAATATCACCCTTTCCCCCCATATAGACCCCCCGGGCCCCCTGGTCAAAGTAGGGGAAACTAAAAAAGGGAATAGGGTCTTTTTTTGGTACCCCATAGAAAAAAGGAGAGACATATTTGGGGGATACTCCCCGAAGGGGAAATGTTGTTTAGCCCTGATTGGCTTCTTTTACTTTCCTGAATTTTTTTTTTTTATTTTTCGGGGAGAAAAACTTCCCTCGGTAGATTTTTTGGCCCTTTTGGGAAAACAGACCCAAAGGAAATCAGTTTTCCCCTTCTCACATCCTTATTGTAATCAGTGGGGGGCTAAAGGTGAAAATGACCTTTGATCAGTGTCTGGGGGAAATCTTCAAACAGGGATCTGAGATTTTCCTGGAATATGGGGCCCCCTTAAATCAAACCAACGGGTTAATAAACACTGTATAAAACACTGTTCAACCTAAATCAACTTTTTCCCAAACACTGTATAAAACTCGTATAAACCCGGTACCCAAACACTGTATCAACACTCTATCAACACTGTAGCAACACTGATAAACCTTTGAAACAACACTTTCAAAAACTGAAACAACGCTGTAGAAAAAACGGTATCAAAAACTGAATAAACCCTGACCCCCCTGTAGCACACTGTAAAAACACTTTTAGCAACACTGTTCACCACTGTAGCAACACTTTTGAAACCCATGTATCAACACTGTATCCCCCCCTGAGCAACACTGTTCCCCCCACTGAAAGCAAAAACTGTAGAAAACACTGAAATAAACACAAAAAGAACATGTATCAACACTTATCAACACTGTATAAACCCGTAGCAAAACGTATCACCACTGTAAAACACTGAAACCAACCCTGAATAAACCTGTACAACACTTAAACGCAAAACCCAACCCTGTATAAAAACCACTGTATCAAAAACCTGTACCCAACACTGTTAAACACATAAAACACTGTAAAATCAAACTGTATAAACCAACTGTAGCAAAACCTGTAGCATGCGGGTGGGGCAAAACTGTAAAAACACTGTAAAACCACTGTACAGCACCCCAAGCCACGGGGGTTTTTTTTTTTCGGGGGCGGTTGTGTTACTTTGATTGCCCAAAGGAAAGTAAAACCTTTTTTTAAAAAAAGCCCTTTTATATAATAAGACGAATATTTTCTTTTTGAAAAAGGGGGGGCCCTACAGAAAAAGAAGTATGAGAGGGGCTCTGCCACCAACTACATCACACGGAACAAAGCCCGCAAGAAGCTGCAGCTGAGCCTGGCAGATTTCAGACGCCTGTGCATTCTGAAGGCATCTACCCTCATGAGCCCAAGCACAAGAAGAAGGTGAACAAGGGTTCCACGGGCCCCCCCGTACATTCTACCTGCTCAAAGACATCCGGTTCCTCCTGCACGAGCCCATCGTTCGAAAGTTTAGAGAGTACAAGGTGTTTGTGCGCAAACTGAGGAAGGCATATGGAAAGGCAGAATGGACCGGGGTGGAGAGACTGAGAGATAACAAGCCTGGCTACAAACTGGACCACATCATCAAGGAGAGGTACCCCACTTTCATCGATGCCCTCCGTGACATCGACGACGCCCTCTCCATGTGCTTCCTGTTCTCCACCTTTGCCCGCACGGGGAAGTGCAACGTCCAGACCATCACGCTATGCCGACGCCTCACTGTGGAGTGGATGAACTACATAGTCACATCTCGCTCTCAGGAAGGTTTTCCTCTCCATCAAGGGGATTTACTATCAGGCAGAGGTCCTTGGACAGCTCATCACCTGGCTCGTGCCCTACCAGTTTGCCCATGACCACCCGACAGATGTGGACTACAGAGTAATGGCCACCTTCACAGAGATGTACACTACCCTCTTTGGCTTCATTAACTTCCGCCTCTACCAGACCCTCAACCTGGTCTACCCGCCCAAGCTGGACAGCAAAGCTGAGTCGGAGCTGAAGGCAGAGCACGAGGAGGACTACGCTATGGACTCAGAGAGCTACTTGGAGAAACTGTCAGCCCTGAGTGCCAGCCTGGCACGGGTGGTCGCCACCGCAGAGGAGGAGGAGAACCAGCTGGACCAGTTCCCTACCGAGGGGGAGGACCTGGAGAATATGGAGGCCAGAGAGAAGGTGCAGAAAGAGCAGGAGGCCCAGAAAAGGCTTTTTGAGGGGCTCAAGTTCTTCCTGAACAGGGAAGTTCCAAGAGAGTCACTGGCTTTTATCCTGAGGTGTTTTGGTGCTGAGGTGTCCTGGGACAAGTCCCTCTGCATTGGTGGCACCTACGAAGTGACCGACGAGACAATCACCCATCAGATTGTGGACAGGCCTGACCTGGACAAGCAGTACATCAACAGGTACTACATCCAGCCCCAGTGGGTGTTTGACTCAGTCAACGCCAAGATGCGCCTGCCCGTTGAGGACTACTTCCTGGGGACGACGCTGCCGCCCCACCTCTCGCCCTTCGTGGAGGAGAAGGACGGCGGACTACGTGCCCCCGGAGAAGTTAAAGCTCATGGCCCTGCAGCGCGGCGAGAAGCCCGTACAAGATGAGGAGGAGGAGGAAGAAGAGGATGATGATGATGAGGAGGAAGAGGAAGAAGAGGGTGATGACGATGTGGACGAAGAAGAGTTGACCGAGGAGAAGAATCTGAAGAAGATGGAGAATAAGCGAGCCGAGGGCAAGACTTTGGGAGTGAAGGTGACCCCCGGCAAAGTGAAACCCTGGGAAACTGGTTCCGTGGGGAACAAGGTGCGCCTTGAGCAGGAGGAGAAGGCAGAGGAGAAGCGTCTGGCCATCATGATGATAAGAAGAAGGGAGAACGTACCTGTACGACAAGATCATGTTTGGCAAGAAGAGGACGACCCGAGAGCAAACAAACTGACGCCAAGAGAAAGGCCCACGAAGACGCCAGCAAGCTCAGAAGAAGCAGAAAAAAAGCCAAGAAACAGTAGCCACCTAACTGTGGATATTCATCAAGGACTCGTTTTGATTTGTATGGTCGTCAATCATACAAGGTTGAAGTCTCATGAAACTCATAGGTTTATTATGAAAAAGGAAATGAGTTGGGTTCCCCCCCCATTGAATTTGATGAGGAGGTGTTTATAATCATGTGGTCAACGCCCCACCCCCCCCCCCCCCCCCAAAATTGTAAAGTTGTTTATTCCCACTGGTCTATGGGTGAACGCAAAATTTTGCGAGCGCTTGGCAAAGAGGTCGCTAAATGACTTTAAATGTCCCCTTTGAGCAAGGCATTTAAACCCTATTGTCCTGTAAGTCTCTGGATGGCGTCTGCTTAAATGCCTAAATGAAATTAAAATGATAAACCCGTATCACACTTTTAAAACCCCGTACAACCGTAGCAACTGTATCAACACTGTTAAACACGTATAAAACACGTTCAGCACTGTGCAACACTGTATCAACACTGATAACACTGTACAACACTGTATAGCACGTAGCAACACGTATAAAAATCGGGATCAACCTGATCAACATTAAATAAAACACTGAAAGCAACACGTTAACACGTATAAAAACCCTTACAAAACTGTTAAACACTGTAAAAACACTGTTCAACCACGTAGAAAACCTTACAACACTTTTCAACCGTGAAAAAAGTTCAACACTGTACAACATTTTGTATAAACTGTAGCAACACGTAGAAACCCTATACACTTTTATAACACTGTAGCAACATGTTCAACATGTACAACACTTTTAACACTGTGCAAAACGACAACCTGTTAAACACTGTTCAACACTGTATCAACACTGTAGCAAAACGTATCAACCGACAAAAACTGTTTCAACATGTAGAAAACACTGATCAACCTGTATCAAACGTAGAAACATGTATAAACACTGTAGAAAACACTGTATCAACACTGTATCAACACTGTATCAACACTGTAAGCAAAACTTATAACATGTAAACACTGTGCAACACTTTAAACCCGTAGAAAACGTAGCGACATTTCACACTGTACAACACTGAAAAACCTGATAAACACGTAGAACCTGTATCAACACGTAAAACACTGTATCAACACGTAGAAAACACGTATCAAACTGTATAACATGTAGCAACCGTAAAACACGTAGAAACCTGTGCGAAGTATCAACACGTGCAAACCTGTAGCGAAAGGTAAAAACCTGTAGCGACACGTATAAACCTGTATCAACACTGTGCAAACGATAAACAGTATAAAAAAAAACACTATATCAAAAGGGTAGAAGGGTTGTAGCAACACGTAAAAACATTTTAAGAACACTTAGCAACACTGTAGCAACACGTAGCAACGCGGTATAAAACACGTAAAAACTGTTCAACACTGTACAACACTGACAACACTGATAACACTGTATAAACACTGTACAGCAGTATAAAACGCTGTACAACACTGTTCAACACTTTTAAACCGTAAAACACGTATAAAACCCCTTTTCAACACGTAGCAACACTGACAACCTTTACAACACTGGAAAACCACTGTTAAAACCCTGTATCACATTAGCAACACGTGAAACATGTAGCAACACGTTTCAACACTGTACACGCTGTAGCAACGCTTTTCAACACTGAGAAAACGGGCATTTTAATTTGTGGTAAAAAACATGTAAAACAGTGTAATTAGCAGTCACAGTCACATCTCAGTCGCATCACAGGATAGCTTAGTCATTATCAAAGTCTGTATTGTCATTATTTCCAGTCAGCAGTCACAGTCCATCGCAGTCGAGTCAGCACAGCGTCGCAGCCCCAATACATCGCGTCACAGTCACAGTCATTTTGAAAGTGTGATCAGGTGTCAACGGGGTTACATAAACGTGTGAAAGATTATGGTTTTGTTTTGGCGGGTGACTGCATATCTGATCTGCGACTTTGGAATCAACGGAAGCAGCAGCGTGTCTTGTCTTATTCATGTCATGTGTTCTCTTGTTACAGTGAACCGGGGAAGTTTTGTTTCATTGTTTAGAGGGGGGAAAATGTAAGGCTGTCCTCACTGACCCGCAAAATAAAAGCAAAAATGAGTCTCTCAGACTTAAAAAAATAATAAAATAATAATAAAATAAAATAATGTTGGCAGGTGCTTTTATTTTCCCATTCACTTAAAATGTTTATGTACAAGGTGATTAAAAACCTGGTGAATTGGAAATGTGTTTTTTGGGATTCCCAAATCCCCCAGAACCCTCGGAGAGGGGGGGCATATCCCAACTCCCCCCAACACCCTCGGAGAGTGGGGGGCATATCCCAACTCCCCCCGGACACCCCCGGGAGTGGGGTGCAATCCCAAACCCCCCCCAGGAACACCCTCGGGAGTGGGGGGCATATCCCAACCCCCCCTTGAAACCCCCCAAGTGGGGGGCATTCCCAAATCCCCCCAGACACCCTCGAGAGGGGGTGCATATCCAACTCCCCCCGGAAAACCCCCGGGGAGTGGGGTGCAATTTCCCCAAATCCCCCCGAGGGGCCCCCTGGAGAGGGGGGGGCATATCCCCAACTCCCCCCTGAGACACCCTCGGAGAGTGGGGTGCATATCCCAACTCCCCCTGAGACACCCTCGGAGAGTGGGGTGCATATCCCAACTCCCCCTGAGACACCCTCGGAGAGTGGGGGTTTGCAATCCCACTCTCCATGGAGGACCCCCCTCGGAGATGGGTTATCACCAATCACCCTGAGGACACCCTCGGCGGAGTGGGGGGTCACGGCCAGGGTCTGCCACTATCAACAGTGTCCCTGGATCAATTGACCCTTCGCTAAGCCCCCGCCCCAGTATTTTGGGCAACTAATCACAGCGCTCCAATGGTTAGCGACTGTCGTCGAGTTTGACACCTGTGAGAAGCTAATGTTTAAAATCATATCAAAGCCAGTGAGGGCTATGGCAAAAAACTGAGAGTTTTCTTCAAAAAAAATACATGTTTAAATAATATAATAATAAGCTTTTATCCAAAGCGACTTACAGTCTTTTACGTATGGGTGGTCCCGGGGATCGAACCCACGACCCTGGCGTTACAAGCGCCATGCTCTACCAGCTGAGCTACAGATGACCAGGAGTACTTGCTATTGTGATTTCTGAAATGCATAGCCTGTTGATGATGTCATTTTTTTTAAAATACGAAATGATACTTTTTTTTAACATTGTTTGATAGCTCAGCTGGTTAGCTACAGTAGCTCAGTCTTATTGACTACCAAACATTGCTGACGCTAGCTAGCTAGCCACTTAATATAACTTGTTTTCTCAAAAATGTATGTTAGCTAGCTAAGTTAGCAATGTTATGAATACAACTCCCATCTGCTGTCGACATCAGGATACGGTTTGAGAGCGCTAGTTAGCTCCAAACGTGGTTATAGCTTGACTGCATGCTGACAGTGAATTCAGAGCCATTCAGTGGCTAGCTACAACCTACAAACATCATTTGACCAGGTTCCCGTGAAGCAATTGTAATGACAGTCCACCACAACATACCCAAGAGTTTTCTGATTAGCAAGGGGTCGTCTGTGTTAAATTTCATGGTGTATTAGAAACACAGTTTGAGATCATTGTGAGGGGATTTCGCCAATGGTTGAATGGGGAATTTGGAGGTGGAGGGTCTGGTGTGAGTTCATCAATTCTGTATATCTCGCTCTTGTATATTATGACATTGAAAGGTTAGAAGGACTGAGGCAAATCAATATAATCATCTGGGAATCAAACCCTGAGTCACCAGTGGTACCTAGGACTGAGGTAGCCCAATGAGCTGAAGCCCGGGCCTTACACAACTACAGCAGCCCAGACTAAGACAGGCCTCTTGAGGCCTCAGGTTGCTTGCCACAAGCATAGCTCTGTGAACTACCTCCACTACATATAATGACCTCCGAGTGTGCGCAGTGGTCTAAGGCACTGCATCGCAGTGCTAGCTGTGCCACTAGGGCGGCGCACAATTGGCCCAGCGTCGTCCAGGGTAGGGGAGGGAATGGTCGGCAGGGATGTAGCTCAGTTGGTAGAGCATGGCGTTTGCAACGCCAGGGTTGTGGGTTTGATTCCCACAAGGGGCCAGTATGAAAAATAAAAAAATAATGTATGCACCTCACTAACTGAAAGTCGCTCTGGATAAGAGCGTCTGCTAAATGACTAAAATATAAATGTTATAATATCCCAGCAAAATTGGTTCTGTGAACATTCTTTAGGTCGAGCAAATGTTCTCAGAACACAAAAACTGTCCAGTGTGGGGATGATTATAGAATGCTTGTATCCGCAGAACTGGACAGTTGTTGTGTTTTGGGAATATATTTTTTGTAATGTCTCCACAATGTTCCCACCAAACTGTTCCCACAACCTAATGAGACATTCTGGGAACCATTAAAGAACAGTCTAAATGTGTTCTGGGAATGTTCTTGTAACATCAGCCAAATGTTTTATACAAACATTATATAATCATCACCACGAATCGACAGTTTTGGTGTTATGAGAAAATTTGCCGCGACCTAACGAATGTCCTGGTAACTTTCCACAGAACCAATTTTGGTTTGCTGGGAAAATATTACTGGTGGTCTACATTTTATTTTTTTACGTTGTTATCAAAAACATTCTCTGAATGTTTTTATGGGGATGTTATCATTCTAATGTTAGATAAAACACCGAACTAGAACTTAATGGGAATCTTAACTAATGTTCTGGGAATGTTCCCGGTTTGCTGGGATGTAAGTGTGATGGAATTAATGAAGGCGTACCATATTGTACAGTGTGTGAGGTTGGATGTGGTTGTGTGGGTCAAGTGATATTGTGTATGTTCATACTGTACATATTGTCTGCCTCTTGAGTGGATGTAAATCTGGTTTTCATTCCTCTGGATATGGTCCGTTGTTGCCTGCTCTCCCTGCCTTTTCTAAATGGCACCCTGTTC